AAAAAAAAAAAGACTGTACCCTTTTATTTAATGATGTTTACTTTGAATTTATATTAGTTCACACAAACACTCCATCCATGCTTTTGTTCCGGCCCTCCGGTCCAGTTTAAGAACCCATTGTGGCCCTCGAGTCAAAAAGTTTGCTCACCCCTGCTCTACACCCTGGGTGGGAACCTTTTTTTCTGCCAAGGGCCATTTGAATATTTATAACATCATTCTCCAGCCATACAAAATTATCAACTTAAAAATGAGTCTGCTATATTTGGTCAGACATTTAATTAACTCACTCCTAATGCCTTGGCAGGTCCAGACTAAATGATTTTGAGGGCCTTATACAACCCACTGGCCAGATGTTCTCCACCCCTGCTCTACACTGAAGCCAGAGGATCTCCTGAAGACACACATCTGATAATGCCATGACTCTGCTTAAATCTGCCCAGTTGCTTCCTGTTGCTTCGGGGATTACATCTACCTTAGTATTGCACAGAAGGCTGACTATGATTGGCCCCTGTCAAACTCCAACTTAATCCCTTGATTACTTGTGGGTCTCCTCAACTGCCCATAGTGTTTTGGAGTCTATCTCTATTCACAATGCTTCCTTTGCCTGGAATGTCCTCACCCCTCTACATCTTTTCCTGGCATTCAGGCAAATACCTACTCACTCATCTTTCAAAACAGTCCAAGCATCACCTCTGCGATGAAGTTATTCCTAACAGCCTCCTGTCATACTGCTGCTCGCTGACTCCTTTTATCTCCGTGATGGATGATTTTCTATCATGGCAAATATGAATGCACATAGTTTCTGATTTCAAAAAGCTTACAATCATCATTGAACCAGAAATCCTGTTATATAATCTGGACCAGCAAGCCAAATTGAAAGAGAAGTCATGAGGCATGAGAAAATAATGACTTGTAAGCAACTTCAACACTGAGATCAATGGTTCTTCTCAGAGGCTCTGTGTGACTCCCCAGCACTAGGTTGTGTGTGTGTGTGTATACACATTAATACACAAGTATTAGCTATATATTAACTGATTTAATCTTCACAAACAGTCTATGAGGTGGGCACTATTATTCTACCTGCTTTAGAAGTAATGAGCCCAGCTGGCAAGGCTCAGAGGTTGAACATCAACCTATGAACCAGGAGGTCATGGCTTGATTCCCCGTCAGAACACATGCCCAGGTTGAGGGCTCCATCCCCAGAAGGGGGTGTGCAGGAAGCAGCTGATCAATGATTCTCTCTCATCATTCCTGTGTCTATCTCCCTGTCTCTTCCTCTCTGAAATCAATTTAAAAAAATATTTTTTTTATAAAAGTAAGGAAGCCCTGGCTGGTTTGGCTCAGTGGATGGAGCGTCTGCCTGCGGACTGAGGGGTCCCAGATTCGATTCTGGTCAAGGGCATATGCCTGGTTGCCGACTCCATCCCCAGTGGGGGGGGGGGGGGGGAGTGATGCAGGAGGCAGCCAATCAATGATTCCCTCTCATCATTGATGATTCTATCTCTCTCTCCCTCTCCATTCCTCTCTGAATCAATAAAAATACACATTTTTTTAAAAAAGTAAGGAAAGAAAAAGCATAAAGAGACTAACTTGTCCAATATGACCCAACAGAAATATCAGTATGAATAAAGTATGGATCTCGGTTAATTAAAAAATAACATAGATAAACAAAAATTAAATTGCTAAGTAAAAATTAATTTTAATTGTAATTAACTAACATATTTTGAGCCTATTAAAGGCTGATAGGCAAAGAAAAACCTAAGTGCCCTATGCTCAAAAACAGTGAGTCGTGAATAATAAAGTAGATACAAAGAACAGAAGACTGTATTTACTGGGGGCAGTAAGAAAATTCTGGGTTGAGGGCAATCTATGAACTGGATCAGTAAGTTAGTGAACAAAATGAAATGAACGCCTAACCAAGGTGGGGGGGGGGGGCCTCCTGGCAATTCCTCCACGTCACTCTCCCACCTTTTCTCCTCCCACATTGTTGGCCCGGACTAGCCAATGGAAGGCCGGCTCTGCGTAGGCCTCCTGTGCGCGTGCGCAGTGTCGCGTCGACGAGCCTCTCCATCGATACGCTCGGAAGCAACTTCCTCAGCCTAGGCACTGTCCGCGCAGGCGCAACCCAGCTGCCGCGGCCGCCGCCATCTTCGCGGCGGGAAGAGTCGGGGTCTGGAACAGCTGGAGGCGGCGGCGGTGACAGGTATGGGTGGTTTCCGCCCGCGGTAGCCCCTCCAAATGCGCCCGTCTTCGGGCCACAGCTCTCGGTATTGCGCCTCTTCCCACCGGGCCACGTCTCTGTCCCCATTTTGTCCTGTCACTCTGGCTTCAGACTCTTTTTCGCCTCCTCACTCTTCCCGTTCAGCTCGAACCTTTGTTTGGAGCTGTTGGGTGGCCGCCCTGACCTGTGTTAAATGCCTGCTTCGACCCTCGGGACCAGCCCTGGGCGCAGGCTCCGCACTGCTGCCCGGGTCTGGCCCGAGTTGTTTACTGCGGGCGCACCCCGAGGGTTTTTTTTTCTGGGCCGGGCGGGCCGTGCCGAACCAATAGGTAAAGTTACTCGGCCTCCTTGGATGGACCGAACCCTGACGTTGGGCCTGCGGTGATCCAGGGACACACAGTGGGAGAGAGCGCCGTTTCCGAGTCTCTGTTAAAGCCGAATCCGTCACCGCCTGTCGTTCTGTCCTTTCCCAGGAGTAGCTTCACGGAAGGGAGGATCCTCTGCGTCTGCTCTCTCCGCCGGAAATGGCCAATGTGAGTAAACGAGCCTCGCAAGGGGCAGCTTAGTCCAGTGCTAGTGTGGGAGCCCGTTAGGAAAAGGTGGAGGCCGGGTTTGGGAGGGTGTCGGCGACATCATGTGTTCCAGCCGGTAATTTCCAGCCGGTAAATCCCTCCGGTGCCGCAGGGATTTTCAAGCGGGCGATCCCTGGCTAGCCCGGGCACTGACCTCCTTCCCTTAGATTGTCAGATCAAACATGACAGCAGCCAGCAGGGCAGCCGTTCGGTGTGAGGGAGTCAAATTTATATCTGTGTTTGTGGTCAGATCGGCAAAATACTGTGCATGCGTGCTTCAGTATTTTGATTAGCTTTGTGTGCCACCAGACAGAAACGGTAGGAAGTCGCCGATTCGTGTGTGGACAGTGCCCAGGGGAGCAGGGGTGGGAAGTGCACGTTCTGCGCCTCCGCGGCAGCTGGAGCGCATCCTTTTCAGTGCAGGGGCACTGGTACTTGTTCCTACACACTCAGGTTTAGAAATACATGCAGGGCCAGCATCCTTTCAATATTTTTTTAAAAACTGTATTATTTCAGTCAAATACTTCGAATCTGTTTTTAAGCTGTTTTTAAATTCTTTGTGAGCCAAACGGGATGTTTTGTTAGCAGTTTTCGTACAGCAAGTAACTTTCCAAATCCAACAAAATGAAAGCAAGAGATAGCATTCACAGAGACCGGAGGTATTTATTGGCTGTCACTGCCCAGTTATAAATCCGACACGCCCTAGCGTAAGGAGTTCATACAGTGGGGGACGTGACGTAGAAAGGAAAACAGCAGCAATAAAAGTGGGAAGTGATTTTTTTAAAGCTACACGTTGGTGCAGTGTGGATTCAGCTTTGCGGAGAAGAGAAAGTGGGGACCTGGGATCACTTAGTCTGAGAATCGTTTAATTTGAGTTTTGTGGAAGAATTGGGCCCAGAGAATCTTAAGGTTTAAGTGGGAAGAACAGGAGTACATACATTCAAAGGCATTCCGCCTTTCAAAAATCAACAAGTTAGTTTTGCCTTCCCGAGTATAAGATAGGTAGATAAAGTTACTGGGAAATAAGTAGATTGTAGACTTCTGATCAACTAATAGAGAGCCTTGAAGGCCAAACAGTAATTTAGACATTATTTTTTAAATCATGATGATTTAGAGCGGTGTGTGAGGGAGATTAATATGGCAACAGTTACCCAGGGTAGTGTTTCTGTAATCGAACCTGATGTATTAAGCGAGAGTCTAATGATGTGACTATAGGGACAGGTTATAGTCTTGGCCACGTAAGATGAATTTTTACCCAGCCATGACCACAGAAGGGGAACATTGTAAAGCAGCACGTGGTGGACATTAATTAGAGTAGAATGCTAGTATTTGACCTGGCTTTATAAATTAGTTCAGTAGGGTAAATAATTTGAAAGCTACTTTGTAAATCCTCTTATTGTTAGAAAGAAGGTCATATAAAGTTAATTTCAATATTCAAATGTACTTTTTAAATTTAGTGTTTATATGCATTGTAAACACTGAATGGATGTTACTAATAAAATATGCAGATATGTGTGTCTTCAACCATGTCTTAGCATACATAGCAAGGATCAAAAATGCCCATGCTTCAGTAGGTAGACAGGTAAATTAAGAGGCATTGGTGGGGATTTTGACAGACTGAAATGTCTACTTCTGATATAAAGAGAGCAGCCTTCCTTAGCCACAGCATTTGTTGCTAACTATTGCCTTCTGGGAATCTGAATCCAGTGCTGCCAGATCTTCAAGAACAGCCAAAAATCTGCACCTTTTGTGTGAAATCTCACAGTTTCTCAATGTTGATACTCAATTCAAATTTCTTGTGTAACACTGTGGACCACACAAAAATGTCTGTGGATGCATATTGGTATGTTTCATAGATGACCAGTTTTCAGTCTTTGGTATAGACCGTTTTTCTCCTCACAGAACTTAGGCCTAAGAAGTGCCTAAAAGACTGTTTCTATTTATATGCTAAAAGGGTTTTAAACTTGAATCTTAATAGCTTGTCATCTTCCCAAGTTTAGAGTCCTGGGTTTGTTTGAATTTAGTCATGTATAAAATATATACTTATCTTCAAACTGAAATAAGCTGGCTATTCTAATTTGGAGGCTATTTTATTGGCTGCTACTTGTAATCATTATGTTCATTAGTTGACCCAATGTCATAAAATCTGTCAAATTCCCACAAGATATTTCACTTCAACAATAAAAGATTTGAGAGCCATATAGGTTAAAGGGAAAAATTTGAAACTAACTTAGTACTATCGTCAGCTATCTATTTCAGTGGACAAATTAAATGCTGGATTATTTTGCAAATAAAATGAAACTTGGTGATTAGATTTTCTTAGAATAGGAACAAAACTCACATTTCATTATATAACTTTTGTTAAAAGTTTTACCATGAAGAAAAATCAAAATAGAGTCTAGTGGCCTTGGTACTAAGAGGCTAAAATAATTGTTAATAATATTAGGGAACTTCAGAAATAAGCTTCCTGAAATGAAATTGTTTGAAGCACTTAGCACAAGGACCTGGCCCAAAGTAACTAACACTATTTTTTTTTTAATATATTTTATTGATTTTTTACAGAGAGGAAGGGAGAGGGATAGAGAGTTAGAAACATCGATGAGAGAGAAACATCGATCAGCTGCCTCCTGCACACTCCCCACTGGGGATGTGCCCGCAACCAAGGTACATGCCCTTGACCGGAATCAAACCTGGGACCCTTGAGTCCACAGGCCGACGCTCTATCCACTGAGCCAAACCGGTTAGGGCAACTAACACTATTGATTGCTATTTAATATTGCCTCTTTCAGCTAATCTCTTATTAAGCTTCTTATTTTGAGGCTTTGCTCAAATATTTTTGATATTTGCATTTTTAAATTGCATTTTAGATTCTGAGGCATATTCAGTCTTTTAAATGTCCTCAATTGTAAAGGTAAATGTAGAGTATTAAAGAAACACCCAAAAGTCTCTAGTTTTTCTAGTAGGTAAAAAAAACTTAATAATTACCACTTTTGCTTCTTTGGGCAGATTGGATACAGACACAAGGGAGTGCTTAAATTTTCAGGTGGACTGAATGCTTTGGAGACATGCCTTGCACTTAGGAGACTCAGAGAGAAGGTTCTATTCCAGGTCTTTAAGAGTTGGAATATTTAAGGCTTAGAATGTGAGGAAAAAGGGCATTTTAGCATAAGAACTCTTTTGACAGTCTAAAAGAAGGCAGAGAAATATGGAAAATGTGAGGTAGATATTTTTATGTGACTAAAGAGTGAAGTAAGGGAAGAGAGGGTAAAAATAGTAATAAATGCTGTCAGAATAAGACCAGCTCTGATGTCTTGTACTTATGGTAAGAAATAGTCAGAAAGAACACATGGGTTGGATTTCAGAATACTAGGTGAAAGGGAAAAAGAACGAGTAAAGTGTCAAATGGCTAGACTATTTCAACATCCCGGTAACTAGTTTCATACCACCTCTCTAACCCCACTCCAGTCCATTCTCTGTGCTGCCCTTAATGGTACATACCTTAAGATATCCATATTTTTATCAGTTTACTCCATTCCCTGCCTACAGAATAAAATTCTGATTTATTATCTTAATATAACTGGCCCTTTACTGTCTGTGCCAAATACAGAGCCTTTTATAGTTGCCCACAAGTCAACTTTCAAGACTGTTTCTTACTGCACTCTCCTATATCCTCCCTCACTGAACTTGTCACTCTTTGAATATATCTTTTACAGCTTCATACCTTTGTTCCTGCAAGTCGCTCATTGAAATTCCACTTTCCCTAGCAAATTTCTACAAAACCTAATATACCCTCCCTGAAACTTTTTCTTCTCCTTCAAGGATTTCTTAATTATTCAAATATTTAAATAGAATTTTACAGATGACATACTTGTTTTTATTCTTTTCCACTAAACTAAGAGTTGGCAATTTTTTAATTTTTTACTGTAAAGGGCCAGATAGTAAATATTTTAGGCTTTGTGGGCCATAAAGTGTCTGTGCAACTGTATTTAATTCTGCTATTGCTAAAGTAGCCATATAAGTGGGTGTTACTGTTACAATAAAACTTGCTTTATCAAAACAAACAGCAGACTGTATTTGGCTATAGTTTCCCAACCCCTGCATTAAATTATTCTGACTCAAGTATTTTACTAAAAGTTTATGCATTTACACATTCATTGTAACACCTCAGAGTCAAGGAAATGAACTTAGAATCAAAAAATGTACCACAAAAGTATGTGCTAAAATGGGAGAAAGTGGACATTGCCATAAAACCAAGAGGAAAGATGGCATGGGAAATAATTGGCACAACTTATAGCAGTAAAAGAAGACAAGGGTTAGAAAAGAAACAGGTTTTGATCTAAGGAAAGGTATTGAAAGTTCCATATTTTGAGAATAGAAGAATCTTACTACTTGGGCTACCTTTTTAGTGCAATTTTTAGAGGTTCCATTCTCTCTAGTGTAGCACTCTTAATTCTGGTCTTTATTGGAAAAGTAACTTACTACTTGTTTTAATATTCGTGTTTATTTTTAAAATTATAAATATACATAATGCTTTTCATATGAAAAGAATAAATGTAGGTTTTAAAAGATATATTGCATTGTGATTTGCCAGAGGTTGTCAAAAGTATAACATTTATATCCAGAAAAAAATAATTTAAAATTTTGTGTCATTTTTAGGTGCTCTGTAACAGAGCCAGACTGGTTTCCTATCTCCCAGGATTTTACTCTTTAATTAAAAGGGTTGTCAATCCCAAAGCCTTTTCAACTGCAGGATCTTCAGGTTCTGATGAGTCTCATGTGGCCACTGCACCTCCCGATATATGTAAGTAAACATTATTATTGCTTTCCTTATAATTGTTTCAAAACATTTTTAGTTGTGTTTCCTATAATATTTCTTCTTGAGGTTTTACAGATTTTCTAAAGTTAAGCTTATACCATTGAATATAGACCCAGAGTTCTGCCTAAATATTTATATCCAAAAGCTACAACATTTAAAAAAGAATATTGGTTTCTAAAACTTACTTTCTTAAACACTAGAGGCCTGGTGCACGAAATTCGTGCACAGAGTGGGGGGTGGGTGTCCCCCTCAGCCCAGCTTGCACCCTCTCACAATCCGGGACCACTGTCTTCTAACTGCTTGCCTGCCTGCCTGATCACCCCTAACTGCCCCCCCTGCCAGCCTGGTCCCCCCCAACTGCCCCCTTCCTCCCCTGCT